TATCCATGGGAAATCATACGCCGTAGTCGAAGTTTGAAAAAATTGAGAAAATCACATTTAAATCGTTTCAAAATTTCAATATCGAATACGAAATTCAAAATAAATGGTCTTTACGTATCAGAAAAATATAATACGTCATAATACGTGAATCCAGTACGTAATTCCTTATTGGTGGGAGGACATACTTAACTACCCTATAATACAGTGCCGTATACAGAATCTTTGACAAAAGGCGTGACAGTGGCACGCGCCAAGCCGCATATAAATAATTAAAGAGACATTTAGGTCCAAACCATTAAAGGGCCCGACACAAGGATCTCAGCCTCAGGAAACCGCCATTTACACATATGAATACGGTGGGAAATTTTTCTGTGGGAGCAAGAACGATACTGTATATGACTTAGACCCCATCCACGTACATTATGTAAAAGGTCAGAGGTCATAATTTAATGTCTCTATTTATGACTTTCGGTTAGCCAGGTGACGCCCATGCGTACCGCAATACAACCCGACGTCATTATTAATTGCGGTACGTCTGATTAGCATATTTCAGCAGTGCTGGTTAGCATTTTATTTTATTTTTTTTTTTGAAGCACAAAATTCACACGGGTCAAAGGGTCCAAGGCAATACGCATCGAGATACGCGTTGCGCGCGCAGTGCCACGCTTCCTTTGCGAAATCTCACACGAGAACTCGTCGTGGCGAAATAATTCGAGGATCCAGTGAAGCGATCCCGATCACTCCTGACAACGGGCACAGTCGCTTGTAAATTAGAAAATGATCGCGCGAGCGATTCGCTCTCGAAAAGTGGAAGCGACGGTCGTCTGTCATCGGGCGCCACGTGTCGCGCGCCCAGCGCCACGTGGCGGCATGTTAAAGCGGCTGGAAAATCGGTCCCTTTGAAGATATCCCACTGCACGAGGCTCATCGTTTCACCTTGAAATTTCTTCATATGATAATTTCGATCTACCCACGTGCGTCGGATCATGCACGAGGATCTCTTCATTGGGAAAGTACCTGACATTTTTTTTTCAAATATTAAAAACATTTAATAACTTCTCAAAAATACTCAAAGCTTCTCGAAAACGTAACGAGACGTCGTATAGTTAAGAGCCAGTGTATATCGTGGGTTGTAGGTTTTAGGTCGCAGGTTAGGTTAGGCAGGCTGAATAGGTTAGAACGAGGGTGTAGACGATTGCTTCCCGGGAATGCGTGATGACTACTTTGTTAGGAATGCAACGCAGCATCCGTGCGCCAAACCTTATACCTATGTAGTATAGAGAAAAGAGTGAAACAGATGCATGCATTACGCAGTACGTATAACGAGTGCGAGAGAGTACGACAGAGAAGGCTGGAGGTAGAGCAATAAGGACGGTCAGAGAGAGAGAGAGAGAGAGAGAGAGAGAGAGAGAGAGAGAGTGCTGAAAGTGCACGAAGATACGTGGGAGCGCAACAAAATAGAAAAAGATGAGCCATATGGCTCGATAAGAGCGACGAAGACAGTGAGATTGATAACAGGGCTTTCAGGAATTCCGATTCTCCCCACCATATCCCCCTTCAATTCCTGACTACGTAGATACTAGCCACCCATCCAGCCAGCCATCCCGCCTATCCTCGCCAGTCAGTCAGCCAGTGCCGTAACCCTGGAATCGCCTAGGGGAGTCAAAGTGGGCCTTCAGACTGCTTTCCAACGGGATTCCTTTCATCCTGAGGGAACAGGAATTTTCACGTCTTGTTAATCACGAAAAATGCAATTTAGAACTCCGACGCGTCCTTTCAATGCTAAGGGTGTGTCATTGGCATCCCTTAATTGGGAATGATTTATATTGGCAGAGACAGTCGCGTTCTGGATTATTTATACAAACTTTATATTTATCATTTTCATCATATTTCTCCTTCCTTTAGATTTTTTGAATTACGTCACTTATACTTTACATATACAGAGTAATTCACTAGAAACGTACCACCTGAAGTTAGCGCGTCCATCTGTGTCTTATGGTAAAACCACGTTCAGGCGGTACGTTTGGGCTGAATAATCTGGTATATATTTTTTATTATTATTTTGTCGCTTGTCAATTTATTGACACTGTTATGAATTTACAGTGTCTCTACGGTCCGAGGCGACAATGGACAACGCTAATTCCACGGATGTTACGTCATTGGTCTTGAGGTTAATTACAACAGTAGATACAGGCTGGCCTTGATGACAATAATATTAATTAAGCTACCCAGTGTGACCACGGTAAACTGTCATTCCATTGATCTCGATCAATCCTAAGCACAGTGTCAATAATTGAACGAAGCTTTACAATCGATTAGAGATAAATACTGGAATCGTCCCTTAAATTTAATGCTTTTTTAAAGTAGATGAAAAACTTTTTTTTTGGTTTATACAAAAATAAATACAATTCATTTGTTTACTCGGTGATAACGAAATTTATGGTTTCTGTAACTAAACTGAAAGTACACCCCATTGGTGCCCTTAACAAATTATAATCTTCTTTTTTCTTCTTCTACCCCACAGTGTCATCGGCAAAGTCCCGAATGACGTTCAGGTGCACGTTTTCGGCATATACAGGGTGATGCAGATGTAAGCTACCCTGTGCGTGACCAAAGGGTGTTTTTGGGTTGGAATATCACGGTGTAGCACTGTACGAGGGTGTAAGGTGAGGGTTGGTGAGTGTGTCGCATGGATCACGGCTCGGAAGCGTATCGGCATAATTACACGGGTTGCATTAACGTCAGATCTCGAATAATGCGCTCGATCGCCAAGGGTGGCAGCACCTGCGAAAGATCATTTTTCATTTAGCCCTGGGTACCGTGAAATGGCAAGTGTTCTGGATCCTGACTGATCTCCATTGTGTCCTGCCGTAGGCGGTCCCGTGGACATGAGATACTCTTATGGCATATTACGCAATATCCTTCCTTATATTGATACTTGGGGATATTTGTGACAAAAGAGGAAAAAAAATACTATTTTGGAAAATTAGTATTTATAAATATTTTTGTAAAAGTCAAAATTTCAAAATATTTATTTACTCAATTGGACGATACTTTTATGTTCAATGTTAGTAGGGGGTGACAAAATTTTTAGACTTTTTTTCAAATTTCATAGGGTCGAGAGAGACGAGAATAGGGGTTGAATTATTGCTTAGCGAAGCTATAGGTATATTGTGGTTTTACGTGTTTTACTGTTTGCAAATGACCCAACGTGAAAATGGGGTACAATGCGGAATTCCACAGATACGTGAGGGATTGGTCGCGCGTGTCAGTTTTTTTTGGAAAAAAATGGAAAATTGACAGGGTGGAGGGCTAGTGGGCGATTACCTTTACTGATACAGATCGTTTCACGCCCTATAAGACGTATCTACACCCCCTAGAAAATATGCTTGACGGCGTGTCTGATTTAACGAGTGGGTCTAACCGAGGGAGGCATTGAAAATTGGTACCCCCCAAAAAATCATCCCCCGCACTGTCGCACTGTCGGCCGATCATGGTCACCCTAACCTACGTTTAGTAGCACGTGTTTACTGGCGACCAACTCCGACCCATCCCCCTCGGCTAGAAAATAGTTTGCATCTTGGGGCGCATCCCCATGAAAAAAAAAAAGAACCGGGAACCTCTCGGATGCCCAACTAGCCGCATCATCGGTCCATTGTTATTCTCATTGTATCTGGAACACCCTACGAGTCTAATGTTCCTCAAAGGGGGTCCGCAAACATGAGGAATGGATCTTTTATTTGGGTAACTTTTTTTTTAGTAGGACAATCATACACTTAGATGTATGTATATACGATTTATGGATAACTGAGGATGCATGGAGTTTTGAAATTTCGAAATTTATATTAGGCTTTTTTTTTAGGAACTTTTGGTTATCCACGTTTGGTGATGACCCCTGATGGTCACGTAACCAATAATTTGTGTCTAAAAAAAATTTTACGATGTTATTTTGAAATTTAGATAATATCAAAAAAATCCACTTATGGTACTGCCTGTGTGGCAATAGTATTTGAAGTTTGCCTATACGAAAATTCAATCAGTTACTAGCGTTTGCGATATGGGAAAATGTATTTAAAAAAAAGTCGAAAAAACTAGATTCACCTTTGAAAATTTAGGAAAATTCAGGAGCGTTATTCAATTACCGAATTACAAGATAAAAAATTAATACAGAATTAGCCAAGTAAATTGATAAAGTAAAATCCAACGATGCATATGACCCGAGCAGGTATTCGTGTGGCATCGGCTCTTGGGGCATCGTTCGCCAAATATTGATCGTCCTAGGTGTTCAGAGTGGGATAAAAGGGTGGATCCAACCCCTGGTATACAGAGTGGGGATGAAAAACCGATGGGAATGAGAACCACTGAGGTCAAGATTTACCCCACCAATGACAAGGGCGGTACTCCCTTCCGACCAATGACGTTTGACCTTTTGAGCTTTCTGGGGGTCGCGAGCACAAGCCACGCCCTTTATTCAACCCCCACCACCGGTATCATCCCCATAACACTAACCCCCCCCC